TTTCATGAAGAACTCGGACTGGAACATCAGTGCGATTACAGTGAAGGATGGTTGCAGTGTTTTAAGGAATAACATGGCTTAAAGTTTCGTGCAGTGTGTGGTGAAAAAAGATCAGCTGACAAGGAAGCAGCTGCAAAATTTGTTGACGAGTTCACCAAGTTGGTCAGTGATGAAAATTTAAGTCCTGACCAGGTCTATAACGCAGATGAGACTGCACTCTATTGGAAATGTACACCCAAAAGAACACTGAAATTAGAGGATACAGAATCGTCGACAGGCTATAAAGCATCGAAAGATCATGTTACTGTGCTGGGCTGCTCCAATGCTGCAGGATCACACAGGTGTAAGTTGCTGGTCATCGGTAAAAGTTTATGTCCTCGAGCTTTCAAAGGTATGACACATTTTCTTGTAAATTACCTTGCCAACAAAAAAGGTTGGATAAAAACTGAACTGTTATTGGATTGGTTTCAGAACTGCTTTGTCCCCGAAGCAAGAGCTCATTGTGACTCTGTTGGCTTGGACCATAACTGTAAGATAATGCTTATTTTAGATAACTGCTCCGCTCATCCGAAAGCAGAACTCCTGGTAAAGAACAATGTTTTCGGTATCTATCTTCCACCTAACTGCACTTCATTGATTCAACCCCTGGACAATGGCATATTACATTCATTAAAGTCGAAGTAGCGCACTCATTTTATGAGGCGCCTGCAGAGTGAAGTTAACTCTGGGAAGCCTGTACGTGAGTTTATTCGTGAATATAATATGAGAGATGTGGTTTACTGTGTTGCTAATGCTTGGAAATCTGTAGAGCCAGCCACACTGAAACATGGATGGCACAAATTGTGGCCAGGGTTAACATATGAGACAGCACCTGATGAAGATTGTGAACCAAACTTTATAGGAATTATGCCTTCAAAGGAGAAACAGCATATAAATTATCTGTTGTCTTTTGCTTGTGATCTGACCAATCCTGCTGTGAAGGATCTTGCATCTAGACTGGATG